TAATTGGCATCAGATGCTCCCTGACCTGCCGCATCCACCGGGAAGCTGGAAGCATTTATTTGTCTGAGCCGGCGGCTCTATCTGCGTGCGGGAGGCGTTGGCGGTGGCGGGGCTGGGCTCCGGAGCCTAATGAGCCCGAGCTGAAGATGATGAATATGATTGCTGAAAGCGCTTTCCTGAGTCCTCCTTTCCTGGGGCTCAGGTTACGAGTTCCCAGACAGCCTGTCCAGCCCCGGCTTTTCAATTCTGATTTGTAGCCCCCCAAACTGTCTGTCAGCTCCCCGTGCCGGAGGAAACGCCGGGTCCTCCTCTGCTGTGCCCGGCGGAGCTGGGGCAGGGGCCGTCAGCCCTGTGCAGCCGTCGGGGAGGGTTTGTCCTCCTGAGCTGCCCCACCTGGCCCTGTGCCCACACAGCCCCCTGAGCACTGTCCCCTGAGGGGTCTCCAGCCACCAGCATCTGCTGTGCCCTTTTTTCTGTGGCTATTGGGGACCTTCCCCACGGGGCCTTGCCACCAGTCACCTCTTAACCTCACAGCAGAAAGATGTGGGGTTCAGCTCCTGTGTTCTCGGCCCATCCCCTGCAGCCCAAGGCCGATGTTCCCCCACTGAACCACATCCCACAGAGAAGCTGCTCAGGGATGGACAAGGATGGGTCAGCCCGGGGATGTTTCACAGCCGTGCAGATCAGAGGGACACGGTCCTGACAGGCCTGGGGTGGGGAGCTGTGGGTGCCCCTGCCTGGCTGCCCCTAGCTCTGCTCCCTGCGTGGGTCTCAGCGTGGGTGCTGTCCCTGCGCTGCTCCTCTGCCCCTTGTCTCACGGGGCACAGCACCAGGTGTCCCCATGGCTCGGGTGTCCCCATGGCTCCAGCATCCTCGGGCAGATGGGGGGAAGGATTTTGTGAGGGGAAGGATTTTGGGTGCTGACCCGCCACAGGATCTTGTGTCCCGCTCTCCTGTTCCAGTCATGTTTCGGATTCCGGGGGCAGAAACATCCCAAACACGGGAATGAGGGGCTCAGGGGACGGGAGGGGAGATGCGGGGCGGCCCAAGGCAGAGCAGCAAAGGAGCAGCGATGCTTCGAGCCTCCCAGCACCTCCCAGNGTGCCCATCCCTGCTCAGGACAGACCTGTGCCCATCCCAGGCTGCCCAAAGCCACTCAGCTCCACCAGGATGTCCCAGTGCTCCAGGCTGGCACACCAGGACAGGCCTGAGCTCCTGGCCCAGCCCCGCGGCCACAGGGACAGGAGCAACTGAGGCACAGGCAAGGAAAAACTCCAAGGAAGCTGGAAGCTCTCGACATAGTTAAAAAACAACATTGCTCTTGAAAATAGAAGTGATTGCGCTCCTTGTGAGTCACGGAGCAGAGACACGGAGATTGCTTTGTGCCAGGGACGGGCGGGCGCTGATTGTGCCGCCCGGATCTGTATCCACAGCCTGGATGGCATGTCAGAGTTTACAGCGAGCATGCATTTTCAACAGTGAGCTTTGCAAAATGTATCAATGTAATCTCTGCCTCCTATATTCCGTGTTGATTAGACACGATTTCTGGCTGGATTTTCAGAAAGCTCAAGTGCTTTTTTAATCACTACAGAAGCTCATTATTGCTTTCCAGTGACTCTTATGTCCTTCACTTCTCCTTTCAGATTAGAGTCTATAGTCAGATGAATATTGGATGATTTCATTACATACAAATGCAATCAACAGTTTTGCATAAATTTCTCCTCTTTTCTTGAGTTTCAATTGACCTCAGCACCCGTGGAGGCAGGCGCAATACACATGTAAATGAGCTGGCGTTGCTGCAAAGACACGGATTCGAGAAACAAGATAAACTGTCAGATAATATTCAGGATTTTTAACAGATCAAAAAATACTTCCTCGTTCAGCCCAGCCATAAAAATGGCACCTTCAGCTGCTGGGGAATTTGCTTTTGTTTTGCTCGTGTCTGGCTGTGGACAAAGAGCAGGAGTGGTGAGAGGGGCTGAGCAGAGCCGGGCTGGGAGTGGGGTGTCCGTGGGGTGTCCGTGGGGTGGCACAGCTCTCCTGCCGCAGAGAAGCCTCTGCAGAGCTGGGTTTGGGGCTCCCTGTGGTGGTGCCAATGGCGGCGCTGCCCTGGTATCCCATCTCAGTGGGATGCTGAGTTCAGACCCCTCGGAGCCCTCCTGGGCAGTGCCCAGCGCTGGGGGCACACGGGGAGCGGGGCTGGGCCAGGGCCTGCCCTCCTCACCCTGTGCTGCCACACACAGGGGAACCACACGTTCCAAATATATTGAAGCTAACGCTCCACGCGAACAATCAGGCCTAATTTTAAAAAAACTGTAATTAAAAATAAAGGACCTCTTGGTAGAGAAGTCGGGGTAAACTGTCAGCAGTCACTTTGGATGTGAAGCCCTTACCTTTAAAAGAATCATTTTTGTGCTAATGTGAGCAATCCAGCACTCCCACACTCGCCTTCGGGGGGCCTGTGGGGAAAGAAACTCGTGGGTTTCTTTTGATACCTTTACGTGCTAATCTTCTTAACAGATTTTTAATTAATGGGAACAGAGCACTTTGCAGCCGTGAAATCTATTGGTGTAATTGCCTGGTGGATTAGTCCCATTAACCACACAAATTACCTGTCTCCAGGCCGCCAGCCCCACCGGGGAGCTCCCTGTGCTGGACACACTGAGCAGCCCCATTCTGAAGCAATTTTGATAAAATAAACTCTCTAATCAGGTAAATAATTCCATAAGGGAAATTGCTGCCTTCCCGCAGCCCCCCTCCAGCGGGACCTGGCTACTTTCAGGGGAATGCAGCACGCCTCCAATTCCAGACAAACCTCCCGCTCCCAGCCCGTTTGGGAGAAGCCCACGGCACACGGGACCCCCTCGAGCCGCAGCGGCTGAGGAATTGGGGCATTTAAGCTGTCAGCTGGAATCGGGCCCGGCCCCTGATTACCTGGGGGGACGTGCGGCGTGTTTAGGTTCGTGTCCATTGTAATTTCCTGACCCCCAGCGTTGATCCCGAGTGACTCCCGGCCGTGTCAGGTTCCTGCCCGCAGCCCCTCCGACACGTGGCCCCGGGCCCGGGGACACCGACCTTTGGGCAATTAATGACATCCAGGCCGGCCTGAGCCTGCGGATGTGGGAACCCTTGTGCAGCCGTCCCCAGGAGCCACCTGTGCCCGATTCCCCACCGAGCCTGGCCAGGCTGCGTGGCCGGGCTGGCTGCCATCGCCCCTCGGGATGGGCACCTGGACCCTCCCCAGCCCCGTCCGGAGGTTTCCATGCCCCATTGTGATTCTGGACGTGAATCTGACAAGAGTCCCACAGCTGTCCTCGGCTCGGGGCCTGAGGTGGGGATGAGCTGCCCCAGGGATGCCGTGGGACCCACACCCAGCAGGCACAGAGGGGTCAGGGCATGCACAGCCCCAGCACGCTTCCCCTGCTCGGTGAGGGCTGCCCAGTGCTCGGGGCTCTGCCAGCCCCTCACCAGGACGGCTCCAAACCTGCTGTACCAGCCGGGGCCCTGCCAGGAACGGGGAGGAGGGTCCCTGTGTGTGTGGGGACAGCCTGAGAGGGAGTGGCAGCAGTGACAGCTGGTGGCGACAGCCACATGCTGAGGTGGCCTTCGGCCGTCCCCTGAAGCGCTGGGGTGATCAGTCCCTGTGCCG